CAACTTTTTTTGCGTTGAGAAGGTTGATCTCGCCGAGGCCATGTGCTCAGGCGTTCCCTCACCTCGGTTGAGCCACTTTGTTTTTTGTCCCGCGCCCCTTTAGGTACCGTAGGTCCCTAAATACACTACACGTGTTGGTGCAGGCATGTATACCTATCACACCTCCGCAATACCACACCCTTTCAGGTGTACGGCAGCAGCGGTTCGACTCTATACGGTAATGGTGTGCAGTGTATCGGTATCACACCCCTCATTTTATCACACCCCAAAACACACGCTGTGGCTGTTCGTTTGTTATGACACCCCCAAACACACGCTGTGGCTGTTCGGACGCGCTATCACACCCCCTTATTTATCACACCCCCTTGCTGTGGGTGTTCGGACGCGCTATCACACCCCCTTATTTATCACACCCCCTTGGGACCGATGCGAGCTGCACTTTATCACCGGGGGTACACAATATATCACACCCCCCACAGTATAGCAGACCGGGTGGTAATATTTTCAAACCCCAAAATGTTACCACCGGGGTTTCTTATATTGTGTCATTTACGGTAATTATGCTTGCTCTCTTGTCAAATGCGCCGACTCGTCTCTAGTATAACAACAGAAGCAAGGCAGTTGCTGGTGAGGCGGCAACTATGCTATGTGTGCATGGCGCAAGTACAGCACAGATTGGGCGTGCTCAGCACGTGCTGGTCCTTCGCAACCTCCTCCATGTTCGTATGTATCACTGCTGTTTCTGCTGGCGGTGTGGCTGGTGATAGCTGCTTTTTCCGCTCTGCAAAACTGCTGTTGCATGGCTACCTGTCCTGCAGTCGCACACAGAACCGAAAGAGAAACATACGGCGGTGTGCGTGAAGTATGCGGGCTTTGTGTACAAGGGTTAGGGTTGATGGTTTGTCGCCTTGCCATCGAGTGATATATGCTCTGCTATGATTGTGATGAAGCGTCTATCCAGAATCATGGCATTGGTTGAAATGTGCGTACGGCATGTAGGATGGCGGCGAAACACTCGACCTTGGTTTATTTCAACCATAGATTCAGATTCTGTAAATCAAAGGCAAACCTTTTGAAAATATCCTGTTTCCTGTAGAATGTTTACGGCGACCTCCAAATGTTTTGTTTCCCCACACTCCCGAACATGATGGGGGTTGAGAATTGGACTTGCTTCGTTCCCGTCAATCGCTCTTTGGCCGCCTTCTCTCCTTTCTCGTATCGTGGGGTGGGAGTAACCCAAACAGTTAATGGACGCAAGTACCGTTGCACGCCTTGCGACTCATGCGCCGACCCTCGTGGACAACAAGCAAGTGTGTGGCAAGCAACAACCTACCAGCACATTGTGGTGTTCTCCTGCTCTTTTCTCGAGCAAAGTATGTATATCACTCGACGAAAGAAGAGCATCTTCTTGACGGGCCCAGCTAGCCCTGCACCACGCGACAATGACTCCTGTCAGCTCGCTTGCTTCGACCGTTTCGCCAGCAGGGCGGTGCTTCTGCGGTGAGGGCCCCCACCACTACCCACTTCCTTGCGAGCAGACAATTTCAGCGACTAACCTGTGCACTACCTCGTTCTCTCCCACCCACCCACCCCGTCCCGCCTTGCCCAAACCGACGTGGCCACTGCTGTCTCCAGCGCCTTGGGAGTACGTGCTGGGCGCGGGAGTCGGTGCGTACATAGGGAACAAGATCCCACAGTGGGAGGCGACCCTGATCTCGGACATCAACGAGATGCGGGCAGACCGCAACATGCCCCCCGCGACACGCGTAGGCGGCTACGAGTTCGGGTCAAGCATCACGGACAGCAAATGAACAAACTCATCATCGTTGCTGTGCTGCGTTGTTCTTTTTTTGGGGGGGTGCGGTAGAATCCGCACCGTGTTTTTTGGGTGGTACAACGATGTCTTCGAATGGACTGGTTGGTGGTTGGTGTGCGGGTGCAGGAAATCGCGGCCTTTCTTGTGCTGGCCTGTGAAGCGAGCGGGCATGTCCCTCGGGTTGCGCGTCGTGAGGGAGTGGCCCGTAGTTGATTAGCCTTGCCGTTGTTTCTTTGTCCAGGCTTGCCGATTCTCCCAAAGCTGGCGCAGAACGCGCTGATAGCGATGTCTGGGTAGGATAGGTCATGTTGGAAAGGAAAAGCTATCAGTGCTGCGGCTAGACTAGGACCGGGATCAACATCTAGTTGTAGGCCTGCTGCCATGTAAACCTGCATCGAGGTGCCGCCGCCGCCGCCGCCGCCGCCGCTCTCTTGGTGTTCATAGGCGTGNGGGGGGGGGGGGGGGGGGGGGGGGGGGGGACGGAGTAGGGGGGCGGTCTAAGCGTCTCCCTCACAATCGCTACGTTCGGCGGGAGATCGAATAGCAGAGTCTTGTGTGACGTCCCAGGTTTCTGAGGCTGTGGCCTGCATGCAGATCTGTCTCACTCGGTGTCTCTGTTTAGACTTGTTCATCTTGCTTCTACAAATCAGACTTGTTGGACACTGCTGGATGGTCCTTTCAAACGACATGAACACGAACCGCTGGGATGTGTACACTACATTGCTGGAAACTGGGCCTCACCATGTTGCGCTTCGCAGCAAATGTTTTCTAGTGCACCACAGGCCTCTACACATTGCGGTGTGACATCATCGTGTTGCCTGCCAACCCCTGGGCATCCCAAGCCCCCCCGATCCCCCATTTTTTTACTTCGTTCCTTCAAAGCGGTATCCGTTCTAATTGAGGTGCGTTTCGGCTCGCTTGCCTCAACGACTGCCAAGAGGAATAAAGGAGGGCATCCGTCCGGCAACAACATGTCTATTTGCTGCTCGCTCGCCAGTGTTTCATCCTGCCGAACACTAATAGACTAGTTCTGTTCAGTCTGTAGCGTGTTCGTAATATTGTTACTCCTCGAATAGAAGAGGATGCAACAAAAGACTATCTATTGAGTCTACTTCTTCGCGAGCACTTTATTCGGCCAACGAAAGGTACCGCCATGCTGTTCCGATCGTGCTGTAACTTGTCGTGCCATCTGTGATCTGTCTCGAGCTCCTCAAAACACAAAGATCATGTACCGCGGGTGGGAGTGACCAGTCTGCGCGCCCCCTGCACTTGGGTTCGTAGGGATGAATTTTAATTTTACCTTCTCTCAAACTTTAAGACAACGAAAGGACGCGTCATTCGAATACGCCTCTTCGTATTGTTTTCGCGCTTCGTGCGAAATAAATATAACTCGTTCCCGGGTTGCTACCCATGGTCGCTGAGCTCGTTGCGCTGAGAGGATATACCGCTGTACAAAGATTACACGACCGGGCCTGTCCTGCAGGCACCTCCACGCACTCATGGGTGTCGGTCCCTCGCATCAAACAAAGATCGAGCGTGAGTTCGGAGATATCGGAGATGGCGATGGACAGGAGAGGTTCTTCGGCCTCGAGAACTTCGGCAATACCTGCTATTGCAACTCGGTGCTGCAGGTACGAGACTGCTGCTGCTGCACTGCTGTTCGGATTCTGCAAAGTATCCCCTCTTTGGCAGAGCGCACGCACTGCCAGCTTAGGGAGTTTGGCTCAAGGCGCATCGTGTGTTCACCACGCCCGCACGTCGACGGCTGTACGTCAGTAGTACCCATAGGCGTCAGAGAACAGAGTCACAAACATTCCGCACCTACAAAATGTATATACATTGTAATTCTTACCAGGTGTGAGGTGACACCTGCTATTGAGACAACGTCGAAAGACGCGTTTTGTACACAGCAGCAATGCTTGGCAGCGATTTGACTTCTCTCTGACGCACCTGCCTTACTCCGCGCTCCCGCCGACTGATTGGGTTAAGGACACTCATGATTTGGATACCAACGGCGCATGTTGATTTATCGCTCTCGCTGGGTCGTTCCTTGCGCCAGTACTTTGGTAATCCTCGACCGCCCTATGCGTACCTACACGAAAGGGATAAGTTTCCTCTACGCTCACCCTTGACTTCCACAACAACAATAACACTTGCTCTACACGCCTGGTTCAAACTCTTCTGGTGTTCGACATCAAAGACACTGCTCTTGTCTGTGAATGTTGTGTTTGGCCCCAAGAGACCTGTTGGCGTCGGGCCTCTCACCCTCACACCTCACGCACCGCTGTTCTCCGTCTCCGCCGTGCCGACCGACTATCACAAAGGCGCTCTACTTTTGCGAGCCGTTGCGACATCATCTTGCGCAAGTACGAGAGGAAGACAAGAGTGGCAGCGGCAGCGGAGACGGTAATAGCTGTGGCGGGGGTGGGGGTAGCGGGGGCAGCGGCAAGACCGTTCTGTCGGAGTTGGCGGAGCTATTCTCGTCCATATCCAACCAGAAGCGGCGGTCTGGCCACCTGGCGCCGACGGAATTCCTCCGCACCCTGCGGGAACGCAACGAGCTCTTCCGTGGGAACAGGCAGCAGGTGCGTGAGGAGGTGACTCGATACAATCAGAGGGGCGCCTGGTTCGACTGCTGCTACTGTTGTGTCGGTGTCGGCACAAGGTTATCTACCTCTAGTCTTGGGGGTGTTGCGCAGCAGAGTGAAATGGGCGAGGGGGGGGGGGGCGCGTACTCTTATGTTTTGCATGCCTTAGCGGTTAGACCATTGACCACGCGTCCTCGAGAGGACGGAGCATTGTTCCCACAGGACCGATCACCGATGGCCAATCGTTCCTTTCTACTTTGCCAAAGGTGGCTCAAAAATGTCTTCCCTAGTCTGTCTATCCTAACGATATC